TATTTGGTGGAAATAGAGCCACTGCTTTCACTCATTATGAAAGTTATACAAATAGCTGCAAATATATTGACTAGGATCACTATTTCTAGCTATTATCATGTTATTAAAGTCGACATTAGCGTGCCGAATGCAATTTGGATTACTGATAGTAGGAATAGAATAAATGCTATATTTTGGAACATAGTAAATATGGCTTTGAAGGAGGACGAGCAATGGAGGATTATCCCTGGAGCTAATGTTGGGTGGATCTCGGAGGAGGGTGATTAATGCATATTGGATTGGCTTTGTTTTTATTGTACTGAAGCTAATGTTCTATATTTGGCTGCTTCGAAGATGAGATTCAAGAATTTTTCGGATTGACATTTATAAGTGCCTTCAGGTTGATTATTATGGTGTTTTCTATGATATGATGCTAGCGTATCTGTTTGCACGATATTACCTTCTGTTTGTTAGATTTTGCTTTAGAAACATCTAATTGCTATGAAGTGCACAAGGAATGTTGTCAAAACCGATGTTATTCAGTCTCGAAAGAGTTACAAATCACCCCTCCCCCAAGCGTAGAACAAAGATTTCAGTACCGATTGCTCATATGAAGCAATTGTTGCCTATGTAATGATTTAAAAAAAAACTGTACCCAGATGATGCTTTGAAGCATTATTATCATAAGAATTCAGTAATTCAGATGTTATTTGCCTGTCATAACTGTATTACTCTGACCTCTGCGACCTTCTCTCGATAAACTCTTGTTATTCTCTACAGTCAACGAAGAGTATTTGAAGTACAAGTGTTTGAGTTGCATAGGCTGATTAAGGTAAGGTCTAAGGTGATCCTGGATCTTGTTTATTTATTTCTACTGGTACACACATAAAGACACTTGTATATATACGGTTAAAATACTTCATATTTTGCATTGAAACAGGTTCAGAAACTAATTGCCGGATCTCCCCTTCTCTTGCTCGAGGGCGTGGCCTATCTGGGCAAACCATCTTTAAATGGCTCTCCTGCAAAGAAGCTTCCACCAGAGTTGATTGTAAAGCCAGTGCCACAAAACAAGCGCAAAGATGACACCGAGAAGCCAAGTCATAAAATGGAATGTTCAGCAGAGAACGCGTTGGTCAGACATCCCTCTCTTCTGTGAAAAATGGTAGTCAGCGTTCAAATTACAGGCCATTCATCGGAAATCCACTTCCTTCTGCTACTAATGGTGAAAACAAAATGAACCCTTGGTGTTTCAATCAAATGCTCGGACAACAGTGGTTGGTCCCTGTTATGTCCCCCTCCGAAGGGCTGATATACAAGCCCTATCCTGGACCTGGATTAATGGGATCTGTTTGCGGAGGCTATGGACCATATGGACAAACTCCAATGATTGGCAACTTTATGGCTTCAGCTTACGGTGGTTCGACTCCTCCTCATCAAGGACATGGGATTCTCCCCGGTTCTCCTTTACCCGTTCACTCATACTTCCCTCCATATGGGATGCCAGTGTGAACCCGGCATTCTCAGGTTCTGCTATGGAACAAATGAACCAATTTTCCGCACCGGGTTCCCATGCCCCAAGTGGTCAGTTATCTGGAAGAGGAGTACAGCATCAAAGTTCATGTAATATGCCTACCAGCAAAAACAACACAGAGTTCCAGGCATCTAAAGATACCGAGCAAGAACGGTGTACGGAAAGAAGTCCCGGTGAGAGAGCAGAGAAAAATGGAGCCGATAGTACTGCCAAAGGGAGAAACGCACCTCCACTTCTCCCCACAGCTCAATCCATTCAAGACGGAGCCTCGCGGCCTCGTGAAACTGACCAGAGGACAAGAGTTATACGAGTCGTGCCGCGTAATCCGAGATCAGCCACCGAATCGGTGGCTCGTATTTTCCAATCTATACAAAGGGAGAGGAAGCTGTGTGACTAAACAAACAATTACTGGTAAATGATCTCGTGTGCTGCTGGATGATCATTATCATCTCTTGTAACTGTAACCTTTACTGTAGTGTGGGTTGTGGCTTATTCGTATGTAGATATATGTTTAAAAGATTACTAGTCGATGTAATATGAATTTTGTTTTGTCTCTTCATTCTATGAAAATGATAAGCTTCTGGGTGATGATGATTGTATCTTTTATGACCTGTGTTCATGTCCTCTCTTGTTAGATCATTGATTCATTGGATTCTTTTAGGACGTTGTTTTGACAAAACTTTAGGCAGGTTTAAATTTTGGCGTAATGCTGCTAAAATTAGTCCCAACGTTGTCAAAATAGTCATTTTAGTTATTATTATATTTTTTTGGGAGCATTTTAGGCCGTAACGTCTCATTTCAAGACAAAAAGACTCATAATATTTGACAGAATTAGAACAAAATGACTCCTAATATTTGACAGAAGGATCAGTTTGACCCTTATTCTTTTTGTTTTCTGAAACATTTTAACTCCCAACATTTCATTTTAAGTTAAAAGAGACCTCTATTTTAGAGTATTAATCGTATGTTAATTTACATTTATAGAGGGTTTTTTACTCCAAAGGGAAACATTGAGGTTAAAACGTTCTAAAAAATTAATAAAAGTTAGAATAATCATTTTAATAAACATTGAGAGTTAATTTTTAATATTATACCTTAAATTTTAGGCTCAAGGGGTAGTTGCATTAATCTAGCTTGAATTTCATGAATTATATACTATAATTTGATCACGAAAATCATTGTTTAATTTTTTATAATAATATGAAATAATTATAAAATAATATATATTTAGATTTTTTTTAATTTAACGACCACATAATTTAAAAACGTAGTTATTTAAATTTAAAACTTTTAAATAGAACAATATATCTTTTTATTATTTAAACCACTTGATAGATTTAGAATTTTATATTTTCATATAATATTATTTCTAATCTAAAATTTTAAAATTTAATATTTTTAACATAAAATTTCATATATATCTCTGAATTTAAGCGTCTATTTATATTAATCTAATAATTTAAAAATATATATTTTAAATTATATATTACGTCGGATCATGCCTCTCTACTCGTACATTTGTCTTTGAAACCTTATCCCGTATCGTATAAATCACTCTTACTCTTTCGGCTAAAATGCATTTTCACGATTGTTTCTTTATTTAAATCCACGTGATTATAAAATAATATTTTTTATTTTAAATTTAAATCAATTTAATTTTAAATTATTGATTTATTTCGATTAAATTTAGATTTCTACCAGAATTAACAAGTCTACCAAAGGTAAAAGATTTGGGTTAATTTTTAATTTCCCCCCCCACCCAATTCATCTCAATGATGAAAAAGGGTCTTCATTTACACCACTTCGAATCCTCTCCCACCTCCTACAAAAAACACCAACTTACCTTTAACATGTCGTCATTCAATACTCGAATTCGATTCGTCTTTTTATTCCGAATCCGATTCCATGTTAATATTTCCCATTGCCTTCAATCCTCTCGGCCTCTGCAAACATCCGAAAAATACTCAAAAATCGAGTTCGAACAAGATGGTTGTTTTTGTTTAAAACACAAGTGTCGGCCAATAAAATTTTATATTATCTGGTTTGGATTACTAAATTAATAGATCGGCTACTGATTAGATCATGTGAAATCTTTCGAGTATAGTATTGTACAAATTTGATACCTTCTTTGAGATCTTCTTCTCCCTGACCTCGTATCGATCAAGGGTTAGATCACATAGCCACGCCCCCGGACTTACCAACTGTAAAAAAAGAAAATCCCCGATTAGAATTTCAGTGTTCGATCGATTGGCCGACCGATTCAGATTAGATATTACCTAAACTACCATGGCCTAATAATGTTGACCTATTAACGGCCAATTCGAATTAGATATTACCTAAATTATACCATGGCCTAATAATGTTGAAAAGGAAAGATAAAAGGAAATAATAATTTGGTGCTTTGCGTTTTTTATGCATCACCCCCGTGGTCCACCCTGGCAAGACAACTATTCAACCATGAGAAAAAAACAAACCCTACAATAACAGTGTTTTTACATAAATGCCCTCCGGACAACGATGCGTCCCAGCCGTCGAAGGTTCAAGTCTTCCTAAATAAGAAAACCATCAACAACCATTTTTTAATTTATTTTTGGATAAATTAAAAATGTAATACTTAAACTATTAAATTTGATCTTTTTTATTATATAAACTTTCAAATTTTTCAAAATCATACATAAAATTTAGTTTTTGTTTTATTTTAATATGCCGCCATTAAAAAATTTAATTTTATTTTAGTATCTTCATCTAAAACGAACCAAAATGATAATTTAAGTACAAAACACGTTAAATTTTTAACGACGAGATACTAAAATGAAATAAAAACTATATGTTAAGTATAATTTTGAAAAAAGTAAAAATTTAAACACTAAAATAGACCAAAAATAATAGTTTATATACTAAATACATAATTTACCATTTATTTTGTTATTTTATACTGTATGGTCGGTTTGCAATGCGCAAAAACATTATGGGTTACAACCTCACACAGACACAGCCTTTGCAGTCATATTCTCATCCACTCATGGACTGACACGTACACGAGTATGTTTCACTCACACTTTACCAGCTCTAAAAGGTTTTCTTGTCTTCTTTTTTTCGTGGGAAAGCGAGGAGCCATTATTTGACGTAAAATTCTCGTGTAGTTAGTTCTCTCTACCTCATCTATATGACTATTTACCCAATCCAAATAGAAAATTAGTTTTGATTTTCAAATCAAAATCTGCTCTAATCTAATGTCTAGATACTCAATTCAAGGAAGAGAGTAAGAGGGGCTTACGTTGAGCGTCCGTTGAATAAATTTCGCTCGTTTTTTGGGTCTCTGTGGCAGCTTAGATCCTTTGATGGCCATGAAATCCTCTTCCTTCTCTTTATTCGTCAAAGCAATCACGAATTTCGGTGGCCAGACGATGGGCGGAGCCGCCGCAGCTGCCGCCTCGCCGCTTCCTGAAGAGGAGCCTCCCTTTCTGCTATCGTGAGCCATGTCAGAAGACGCCGCTGATTTGTTGTTGTTGTGGCTGCTGCTACGGTGGTGGTGGTGGTTTGTTATGGTTGTTACCACCCACTCTCTTATCGTGCGCACCCCTATCTGGTGAAGCGAATCCCCTTACAGCTCCGTTGCTTTGGCCTCTCATAGCACCGGAATTCTCAGAGTTCCTGGAAAAAAATATTAACAAAACAAATTCACATATAAGAAAAATCAAAGACAAAAAAAAAAGAAGGGTAAAAAAACAAAACAAAACAGAATGATTTGCGGTAAAGTTTTGGAAAGTAAATATAAAGAGGGGTTAAGTTGTAAATTTTGAATTTACAAATATAACCTCGGGAGTGATCCAGAATTCTTAAATGTTGAGACTTTGAGATTATGGGTTTTAAATAAGAGAGTCGTTAAAGCTTTGGAGAGAGGAGAGAAAAGAGTGGGTCTAAAAGGAACGCAGGCCGTTTTCTGGCCGTTGGATTAAAGCCATCTTTTGGCTTTACGGTGGATTAAGGTTACGTGTTGAAGACTTGATGTATGGGTTGGTATTAGAAAGTGGGACCAGATTCCTAAATCCAATCTCCGATCCGACGGCTGAGGTGGTTTGTGATGTAGACCTGTGGTCCAAGAACCCCACGGATGCACGGAGCTAGGATCAGATGGTGCACGGTGCAGAGACATCAAACAAACCAACAAATTATCAAGTGTCGAGTGTCTCAAGCAACATCAACCACCATGCATTAGTAGCACCAAAGGGATGAAAACAAAAAAAATCTCAAAGAAAAATACAATAACTCATATTTTCCTTCGCAAACAATATTAATCCATCGTCATATATCGACTATGGATTAAGATCGTTTTCGAAGAAAAAAATTAAACGACTTATGATACGTTAAAATAAAATAAAAATCTCAATTAATATATCAAATAATAAGAATTCTAAACACACTAGCACCTAGGGGTGGGAAATAAAGGTCGACCCGACCCGAATATGACTTAGAAACTCAACCCTATCCGTCCCGACCCGAAATAATAAAAAAATTATTTTTATTCAATAAAAATGACTTAATTGAAAAAAATATAGAGAGAGAGGTATTATTGTAATTATTCCTAAATATATAAGGTAAAATTATATATTTTTTCGGGTCAGATCGGTATTTTTTACCTTAAATCCAAACCGATCCGACCCAAATATCACACTTAAAAAATTCAACCCGATCAACCCCAATTTTTTTATTAAAAAAAATCTGACCCGATCAAATCGAAATCCGTCGGGTTCGGATTGAGTACCTATCCTACTAGCACCAAAGAAAAAAAATAAAAATTTCAAAAAAGCACAATAATTCAAAAGAAGAATCACAAACGATCTTAATTTGTCGCCGTACACGACAACAACCTAATATCACTTTTAAAGGAAAAATACTAATCATACGACGATAGATTAAAACCATTTGCCATAAACAAAAAACTCGACAGGCCTCCAAGCTAGATCTTGTTTACCATGTCGCTTTGCTAGACGATTCACTATACAATCTCCAAGCTAGATCTACCCAAAACAATAAGAACCCTAAACACAACCAACCTGACCAATGGGAGAGTGCACAAAACTAATTCAGCCCCCCGAATATGCATCAGTCATGTAATGTTACTTTTATAGAGAAAGAGACCCATTAAATGCATTCACCAACTAGTCGACAGGCCCATCTTGAAATATCTAAGCCAAATTTGTGTAGGTTCTAGGAGTGTGTCGATGGCAGCCAAGTGTGAAAGCTTATCCGGAACAAAGCTCTCCACTACTAGGGGAAAAAGAATTAAAAGTCAAATTAGTGTATTAGCCAACCTTTGATCATATTCAGCTACTTATGCCCCTCAAATACATTGAGAATCTTTCTAGCAAGATCAGGAATGGCAACAGAGCCGAGAACCGGAATGAAAGCGGAGATCGCTTTATTCAACTCTGCACAAATGGCATATCCGTAAATATTCACAACCTCTTCACGCTTTTTTACGGTCACTTCATCTTCCTCTTTTATTAAGAAATTCAATATTGAAAAATATATAAGGTAATACTTTAACTATTAATTTTGATTTATTTTAGTATTTAAATTTTAATTTTTTTTAAATCACACCTAATGTTTTTTCATTTTATTTTACTATCCATTAAAAACTTAAAACGTTTAGTACATAAACTATCCATTTTGGTTCATTTTAGTATACTTAAACTTTTAACTTTAACGTTAAATTTTGAACGAATATATTAAAATAAACCAAAAACTAAAACTTTTAATGACATAGTACTAAAACGAAATAAAAAATAAACTTTATGTATGATTTTAAAAAATTTAAAAGTTCAAATATTAAAATGAATCAAAACTAATAATTTATATAATACATACGTAATTTACCCAAATATATTTTGATCATACTTTTGTATATGTATAATTTATTTATTATATTTATAGATGTATCAAAAACACTACTAATCTGAATCTAACCTGTAAAAGTTCATTGTAACAATAGATCTATTTTTTCCAAATATTGAGATATAAATAGTTAATTACATCATATGTTGTCAAATTATAACTCCTATTCAAAATAAATCTTTAAACTTTTAAATATTTTAATTTCATCATCAAATTGTAACTCTCATTTTAAATTAATATTAAAATTTTTGAAAACTTCAATTTTATTCTTAAGCTATGAAAATCATTCTAAATTGATATATAAACTTTTAAATTTTTCAATTCCATCCCCAAATTTATTCAAATATATAATTAATTTCAATCACAATTTAACATAATTTTTTTTCAAATATATAATAGTATAATTTGATCTAATGATTTTATTAATATAGGATGAGGGGATGGAATTGAAATATTTAAAATTTAAAGACTAATTTAAAATGGTCATAATTTGAGAAAGGAATTAAAATGTTTAAAAATTTAAAAATTAATTTAAAATAAAAATCAAAATTTGAGATTAAAATTAAAATATTAAAAAAATTAGAGACAATTTTAAAATAAAATTTTACAACATATGATTAAATTAACTCGGATTTAAAGTACTTTATCGCCCCAACTGGAACAAAACACCTAATGCAAAAAACAAGCGGCACAAGAAAACCAGACATCAAAAAGGAGCCAACCCCCCCCCCAATCAGAAGAGAGCGTATCATACACGCGCCCAAGAGAAGTGTAAAAACGTAAATTTCACACAGTACCTGAGAACGCGCTGAAGTGGCGGAGCTTGAGGGGAAGCAGGCCGTTGACGGAGGTTAAAATACCCGTTCCCGTGATTATTATTGCTCGGCTGATTCGAAGAGTCCTTGTCAGCCCTCACGACTCGGCGGTCGACTCGAACCGTGGTTCGATTGACCGGTCCGGACTGATCCTCTTTGACCTGGATTTTCATACACCGCAGGCGTTTCCGATTTCCCCATTGCAAAACGAAATCAGAAGAAGACGCCGTTTGCTTGGCCGGATCCGAGCTGGATCTTAACAGTCCGCCGTCGACTCCGGCTCCGGCGGTTCTATCTCTGATGTAGTTGGTGCTATTGCCGATACCATTGTTATTGTTGCTTCTTAACGAGTCCTCCATTCTTTTGTGCACGCCTGTCCCATCATGAGAGAAATAAATTGAGAATTTTAATTCTGGAAAAAGCTTTTGATTCAGTTTCAGAAATAAAGTGAAAGCGCCGATAAGGATAAGAAAAGGATGGGATTAGGAGAATTTGGATGCAACTTCTGGTGAAACTTTCACGCAATTTCAAACAGCAGTTGCCTCTGATTAGCGCTAGAATATGTGCATCGGACGGCTAGGAATTTTCAAGGAAAATTTTCCGGAAAATAAAAGAAAGAGAAAGCAGCCAAACACTGGTGAAAAGTTGAAGATTTAGTTAAGTATACGAGGAGAGATGGAAGAAATAAAGAAAGTGAAGCCGTCTTTGGTCGTAGTTCTTATCACCTGAGAAAATCACAGATTCAACATTTTTCAAACTATTGAACAGAAACCAAAACGCTTCTTTACAAGTTCTTTTCGGTTTTGATTTTCTCTAGGTTTCTTGTAACCAAACGGGAAGCTATTGGCTAGGCAGAAGCGAGATGAGAAAAAACTGGAAGAAATCAACAGAATCGAAAAAACTTTCTCAGTGGAGAATTAAGGAAGCGAAAATTAGAAACCAAGCAAAGATTTAAATAAAGAGGGAAAAAATCTTAGCGGAACAGATCAAATTCTTCTTAAAATAGTTTGGAAATTTTCATTGATGGATTATGAAGAGGAAAAAAACTTGAGATTCAAACTCTGAGAAAACGAAAACAAAATGAACTTCCAAAGTGAAATTAAAATCTGAGAATGTAACATTCTCGGGAAAAAATCAACTCCGTCAAACAAATCTTCGGTTTTCAATCAAATCCAAGCTTGAGAAAATCAATTGGCAGAGCAGAACACTGAGCGTTCTGGAAAAAAAAAGAGGCTAAAAACGCTAACTCTTTTAAACAAAAAGCTTGGCGAATCAACGGCGACTCGATTATCTTGAGTTGGATTTAGAATCGGTATTCAGATAGTCAGATTCGTGATCTCATCTCATACCTGAAAATCACTCAGCCTTAGCCGTTACAACTTTGCTTCAGTCTTAATGGTATAAACACAAGTTTTACTTTGGATTTCAACAAAATAATGCCATTTGCAGCCTATTCTCCAGACTCATTCTAATCCTTTGAATATGTGAGAAATTGATCTGCCTAACCGCAGATGAATTCAGTCCAATTTTCTCCAGAAATCAGCTCTGTTATCTTCCAAATGTGTCTGTCAAAAAAAAAAGAACAAAATTATTTTCAAAGAAGATCATGGCGATAGTTCGAAATCTCTTTAACTTTGTTCACGGTCTTCTTTTTTCCTTACAGATTCTCAGAAACTTCAACGAAATAAAAGAAATCTTCACGATTGGTTATCAGAGCCACCAAAAACTTTCATCCAATCTCTTCGATTGTATCTGCAGAAAAAGGCATTACAAAACGAAATTTTTTGTTAACAGCGTTATCCATTGAATATAGACGAACGAGAATTCATCAGAATAAATCAAAATAGAAACAACAATCCCTGCTCTCAATTTATACACCTCTTAACAACTCCTCAAATTCTTCTCTCCTCCTTTCCCTCTCTTTGTTTCCCTCGCTTCGTTTAGAAATTAGATCCTCGACATTTATTTATATAAATTAACATCAGTTTTCAGTATTTTTGTTCTCGGGAATTTTCTGTTTGGTTCACGAGAAAGAGAAAGAAAAAGAAAGTAGAAGCAAATCAGCAAAGAAGAAGAAGAAAATGAACGAAATGCGCTCTTTTACCTTCTGAATACCAATTTTTATACCTCTTTCTCACCATCCGTACACCACAAGAGGCTTCTTCATCGAGAAATCCAAACCGTTCATCATTAATCCAACGGCAAATTGTAAAAAAAAAACCTAAACTTTTAAAATTTTTCATAGCCATACCAAAGTAGTTTTTGTTTCATTTTAATACCCACTATTAAAAATTTAATACGTTTAATACATAAACTATCAGTTCTAGTCCGTTTTAGTATCTAAATTTTTCATTCTTTTCAAAATCTAATTTTAAATTTTGAACGGGATAATAAAATGAATAAAAAACTAAACTTTAGTATCGTTTTGAAAATATTAAAAGTCTAGGTACTAAAACATATCGAAACTAATAGTTTAGATACTAAATGTGTAATTTATCCTATTTTTTTAATATTCTAATATGATTAAAAATAATATTTATGTTTGATTTTAAATATGGATATACTCATTGATGATCTTAACGATGAAAATAAATATTGCTCTCTTTAAAGGATTCAATTCGAACAATCGAATTCACAAGTTGTCTACGATGTCAAAAGAAAACTAAATAAACTCAAGCACACTTACAGACAAAGCTGCTCAGACTCAAGTTAGTTAAGGTGATTAATTTTAGGATAAACTACGCATTTAGTACATAATTATCAGTTTTGGTCTATGTTAGTACTTAAACTTTTAAGATTTTCAAAACTATACCTTATCAAGTTTTTCTTTCATTTTGGCACCCACCGTTAAAAACTTAAAGCGTTTATTACCTAAAATATCAAGTTTGATTCGTTTTAGTACCTAAACTTTCATTTTTTTTTCAAAAGTTGACGTTAAATTTTGAACGAGGGTGTTAAAATGAAACAAAAACTAATCTTTAGGAATAGTTTTGAAAAAATTGAAATATTAGGTACTAAAACGGACCAAAACTAATTGTTTAGGTACTAAACACGTACTTTATCCAATTTTATATTATGGAGTATGAACTTTTTAAAATTTATATTAAAAATTTAAGAATGTGAAATTATACATTTTACGGAAGAGAAATTACATTATCAAACAGTAAATATCTAAATTATACAAGAATTTAAAATTTTCAAGGGATATGATTGTCCCAATACCCTAGTTCATCTCTGTTTAAACGTAAAAGTTAAAATTTTTAATTTTCACATTTAAATTGAAAATTATTTTAAAATATATTTTTTCTAAAAACAAATTATATATTTAATCTTGTTTATGCCCCTAAAAATATTTTAGACTCTCAAAATGTAAAATAAATGGGGCCTAAAGGCTGCGCAACAAAGCTAACTATGGTTAGTTAAGAAAAACCTGGTTAATTAACCATGGTTAACACTAGCCGGGTCGCCCGACCCGATTCCCTTCAACTTGTCTCTTGTAGGACAAATTCGTAATTCTGCTTTCCCGACTTTATTAATACTTTGTCGTTGGGTATTTTACATTTAAAGAAAAATCAATATTATCTAAATGACTTGAGAAAGTTCAAGGAAATATACCTACTTTATAAATTGTGTTTTTTTGGGTAAATTGCGAGTTTATTATTTATATATCAATTTTTGTTTGTTTTAGTACGTAAACTTTTAATAAAAATCAAAGCATACTTAAAATTTATTTTTTGTTTCATTTTAGTACATTGTTCAAAATCTGACGCTAATTTGTGAAAAAATTGAAAGTTTAGGTACTAAAATTGATCAAAATTGATAGTTTAGATACTAAAAGAGTTAATTTTTTAGCGGTATGATAATAAAATGAAATAAAAAATAAATTTTAGATATGATTCTAAAAAAATTTGAAACCTTAAATGCTAATAGAGACTAAAACTAATATTTTAAGTACTAAATACGTAATTTATTTTTTTTATATTTGGAATCTTATTGGTATTTACATTTAAATTCATTTAGGCGCGCGAATTTTTAACCACGTTAGTAAAGACACGTTCCACTAAAAATACCTTTCAAAAATTAGGTGATCGACATTAGGCCTATAAATGAACCGAACGTACACGAATGGAAGTATGTTCATGTTCGTTCATTTAATAAATAAACGAACATAAACGAACACGAACATAAACGAACAAATTTTTTGTTCATGTTCGTTTATTAAGGAATATAACTTGTTCATGCGTTCATTTAATAAATAAACGAATATACGAACACGAACATAAACGAACACGAACATAAATGAACACGAACATAAACAAACATAAACGTCGGAGACCCTACCTTCCATTGTTCTTTCATGAAAAATAGTCGACAATGCAAATCAACTAAATCTACAGTGATAAATAGCGTAAGAGCTGATTAGCAGTGATGAAATGTTTGAAGATATCAAATATTTCGATCGATCTTTTAAAATATTAAAATGATTCACACGACTTAATTTAACGATATAACATTTATCTTAGTGATCCATGATTACATATGAACAATCATTTTCCACTACGCTATTCTAATAAATTCGCCGGCTAAAAGTTTTGTGACATCAATGTCAGACTTTAGTGATGTTTGTTAATAATGGTCATTTCTGTTGATAGAGTATAAAATTTAACAGCATGAAGATTTCGAACGGTACAAATTGGACTACAAGGCAATAACATAGATCCGAAATCCTTTCGATGCTACATATCATAAGTGATATTATTGCTAAACCACCATTCAAAATTTTAACGTACCTAAAGTCTACTCCACAACTAAATGTCACACAAGAACTATGAAAACAAAAGTTCATTGTCAAAGTGTATTTTCTACTTATTAATGGGTTCTTCCTGGAAAACTCATTACTTCCGCTATTACACTCCTTTTGCAGAAATTACATAGAAACCTTTGTTTTGTTTTCTGACAAATTCTATATATTTTTCTCTTTACTGATGCTCATATACTTCCGATTGTTACCTTTATCTTCCCATCTATTTCTAGAAAGAAGTATAATGTTTTCTTGAGTTTTAGATGTGAAGATATCAACAATAACTTTACATATCAACTATTAAGTTAAATAAAACAGAGAAAAAGATGAAAGCATATATGTAAAACTTCAGATTGCACTATAATATAACTTGTTTTGAAGCTTTCAGCGATCGTCTCCACTCTCTAGTGAACACTATGGTTTGGGGAAAAAAGGGGGGAAATGAATATAGGTGTGAGGTGCCTCACGGGTTAACATATTGGATTTAATCTCCAAATAAAATTGTGTTAATTATGGAATTAGTCATCAGAATATCAGATTAATTAATATTTTTAAGATACTTACAAATTGGTCACCAAAATTGATTTAAGAAGATTGTGTTAAACATAAATGAATGAACATAAGCGAACATAACCGAATGAACATAAGCGAACATAACCGAACGAACATAAACGAACATAACCGAACGAACATAACCGAACGTTCACGAACGTAAATGAACGAACGAGACCTATGTTCATGTTCGTTCATTTAATTAAACGAACACAAAATCTTGTTCATGTTCGTTCATTTAATAAATAAACACACATAAACGAACTTCCCGCCGCACAGTTCATGAACGGTTCGCTGAACGTTCAGTTCATTTACAGGCCTAATCGACATGAAAGGATATTATTTTCTTAAATAATCTTTTTCGAAACACGAATAATGAGAGTTCGGTGGTAAATAAATTGTTGTTATTATTTGGAATGCCAATTTAATCTGAATCCGATTGGTTTCGACCCGATCATACCATATAGGATCATATTTTTTTTTTAAATTCAGGTTCCTATTGGGTCGGATCAATTTTTTAAGGTGCGAGATCAGGTCGGGTCGGGGTGAAAAAACTCTTATCGACTCGACCCGATGATAATAATATAATTTTCTTCAAAACAATTATTTTTTAAAATTAAGTCCTTTTTATAATAGATCGGATCGGGTCAGATTTATACTCTAAAAATACAATTCAAGTCGTAATCAGGTGGAAGATATCTATTTTTTCGGGTTGAGTCCTATAAAAATTTTGGGTTGGGTCGGGTTTGGGTGGAGGATACACATTTTCGGGTTGGGTCGGGTTGACCAAGAATCCCACTCGTTGTCATCCTTAGATATTCCTTGAGGTCTCGGGCGTGAGCACCAATAATGTCAAGGGTTTGAGCATTTAATGTCAAATGGTTAAGACTTAAGAGTTGTTTTTGAATATATATTTTCTTATATTTACCTAAAATTAATAAAAAAATCTTTTTTGATATTATTTATGTAAATAAAAAGAAGTTATTACTGAGATAAAGTTATCATCTTAAAGATTTAGGGGCTGTTTGTTTGCCTCTTAATAGAATCATTCAGCGTTTAGCACGTTTGTTTCGCATCTCTGAATGATTCAGTGCTGGCTGATTTAGCAAAACAGTGCTGAATGATTCAGCACAGAAGTACATTCTGAATCATTCAGAGCTAGTTATCAAACAATATGTCACATTCAGAGTCAAACCATTCAGAGCCTCTGAATCATTCAACATTTGAATCATTTAGCAGTTAATCATTCTGAAATAAACAAACAGTCCCTTATAGTTTGAATCAGACATTTAGGTTTTGTTTATTTTAATACTTAAATTTTTATTTTTTTAAAAAAAAAATTATACCTCACCGATAAAATTTAACGACACTGCATTTTTAATGGATAAATTTCATTATTCATCCCTAAACTATCTTATCACTCCTCTTTTGGTACTAAAGTTTAAAAATTTTAATTTAATTATTCAACTTTCAAATTGCTCCTATTTTAATCACTCTAATTTATTTATTTTTAATATTTTTTGACATTTTTTATTAATTTATTAATATAAAATTAAAAATAAATAAATTTGAAAGTTATAATGATTAAATTAGGAGTAATTTAAAAGTTAAGTAATTAAATTTTAAAAATTAAACTTTAGTGACCAAAATAGGATTGAGAATATAGTTGAATGATGAATTATGCTATTTACCCATAAAAAAAGTGTCACATGCTAATCACCCGTCAAGTTTAAAACGTTGGGGTACTAAAATAAAACAAAAATTAAACGTTTTAAGTACTAAAACAGACCAAAACAAATAATTTAGATACTAAACGTATAATTTACCGTAGAGTTAATAGCATAATATATCTCTAAACTGTTCTCATAACTTAGAATCAAACACGAACTAAATTATATTAGTTGTTAAAGAAATTGTCGTTGTTCCTAAAGGTCACGGCTTCGAGCACAAGAGGCTACGAAGGTGATTAAACGTTCATTGTCAAATGATTGAGAGTATTTAGAACAAATATTATTCAACCCGAACCACATTATATTTATTAAATTGTCCATCTCATGGACAGATCTACTTATAATGTACAACAAGTACATAGGAAAAATACATTACTAGACACATACAACATCATAGAAGTTATGGTCTTTTAAGAGTTGCCAATGCCACCGGCTACATTTCTATGCACTGAATCCTTGGTCAAGAGAACCCCAATGTTGAATGCCGGCACAAGCTTGGGCGGCTGCCTCGGCCATCTTTTCCGTCCGAATCCCGGCGTTGATGTTTGCAAAGGAACGCATGTGTTTCAGCCCGAACTGCGACAGTGATCCGCAATGCGTCTCGAAGGTTCTCACCTGTGTCGAGGAAAAGAGAGTCTTTGTAAACAGCAAGACATTTAACAAAAACAACGGAAGAGAGGCTGGGAATCGAGGTTATTACCGTTTTCTTAAGGCATTTCTATTCATCAACAAGAGGTTGACCCGCTGGTCGAAAGGTATTTAGAACTTCCGAGCCCCTTTCGGTTCCGAATAATAGCCGGCCAATCAGTTCAACACTGTTGTCTGTATGCATCCTATGGGACATAGCTTCCATAAACTGCTTTCGGGCTTCGACCTTCCTAGCCGAGCCATGGGGTGCTTTGCGATACTGCGCAATAGGTTAGAATTATGTGTGGAACAATGTGTTTCACATCTTTACATTAATTCACAGTAAAAGCATCATATAGGATTTAAGAGACAGACACAGACCTTATCCCAGAAATGAAGAAGATCAGCATCACGTTGATTAACAGCTTTAGTAGGCGGCTCCGAGGAGTTCTCATCAACGAATGTGAAGTTATCGTTCATCGGATTCGTACCAAAGTATTCAAAGAGATGGTCCTTGCTAACCCCTATGTCGCCAAATTGCATGACATGAGAACCGTATTCCGAATTGCCGTTATTAGTCCTCCGTTTCACCTGTAGAAGGCAGCAACATGAGATTTTCGCAACAAAGTTCGTATTGCTGGTGCAAAATAGAGGTTCTTACGAGTTCGTATTGCTGGTGCAAAGTCTCGTTCCGCAGATTTTTTATGGCACTGCTCAACAGAAAACAGAACATCGACATGCATACCAACAGATGTAACTCAACAAGAATAAGATCTCCTAATCCAATCCAGATGATACTATGTGGATAAGAATACATCCACCCAGTTTATGTACAACTTTTGAAATTTTTCGAAAACCGACATAAGCAATAAGCTTCAACTTCAAAGATCTTGTAATTCAGTGTTCTTAAGGGTAAATGAAAAGGACTTATATGTACCTGTCCTCCATCCAAGAGACGCTGTACAAGGTCTCATACTCCGGGGGAGGACTAGGGTCTTCTCCGGGACAATAGGTCGCCCAGCTACTCTCGACTGCATTCGATGCCGTGGTTGCATAGATATTCAAACCCTCAGGAAGAAGCCCCTCAAAGATACTACCAGACTCACAAGCTTCAAGATAGAATACCTGCAAAGTTACATGTAGACAAGACATTAAAAATGGCACGAAATTGATGGATAATAACAGATCCGATGATCCGAAAATGAACAGATATTAAAAACCACAAGATTTACCAAGCTTTTATAGGTTCCCATGGCGTGCTTTGTCTTTAAAACATCAATCAAATCATCAGCAAAAATACTAGGAAAGGTAGGCATTCCTGGATTAACACACAATAAAAGCATTCATTAGCTACTCTACAAACCGATATTACGTTTCAAGTCGAAAAAAAACATACTAGGATCGCCAAGGAGCCTGCTAAAGAGACCTAACCAAGAAAACCAGGACCCCATGGTCTTAGTAAAACATGAAAATATGATCATTGGGTCCACAATCATCATTCATTAGCAACTCTACAAATCGATATTACGTTTCAAGTCGAAAAAACATACTAGAATCGCCAAGGAGCCAGTAAAGAGACCTAACCAAGAACACCAGGACCTCCATGGTCAGAGTAAAACATGAAAATATGATCATGGGGCCACAATCATCATTCATTAGCAACTCTACGAATCGATATTAAGTTTCAAGTCGAAAAAACATACTAGAATCGCCAAGGAGCCAGCTAAAGAGACCTAACCAAGAACACCAGGACCCCATGGTCAGAGTAATACATGAAGATATGATCACTGGGGCGACAATCATCATTCATTCGCAACTCTACAAACCGATATTACGTTTCAAGCTGAAAAAACATACTAGAATCGCCAAGGAGCCAGCTAAAGAGACCTAACCAAGAACACCAGGACCCCCATGGTCAGAGTAAAACATGAAAATATGATCATTGGTCATTCATTAGCAACTCTACAAACCGATATTACGTTTCAAGTCCAAAAAACATATTAGCATTGCCAAGGAGCTAGCTAAAGAGACCTAACCAAGAACACCAGGACCTCCATGGTCAGAGTGAAAAATGAAAATATGATCATTGGGGCCACAATCATCATTCATTAGCAACTCTACAAACCGATATTATGTTTCAAGTCGGAAAAACCATACTAGGATAGCCCAAGGAGCCAGCTAAAGAGAACTAACCAAGAACACCAGGACCCCCATGGTCTGAGTAAAAAATGAAAATATGATCATTGGGGCCACTATCTACAACTTTGCCACTACCCCCAGTGATGGCAGATTTATTTCCAAGGATTGCAGCAAAAAAGTTGTTAACAGTAACATTTTCTCCAGTATAATCCTGCAAAAGAACACAAATTAGGCAATGGTAAGAATCAGAAAGTGTAACAAATTATAATCTCTAAAAGAAAATTACAAGCAACAAGAAAACTGACCTTTGGAACTCCCTTGTAAACATCATCACCACGCGGACTGTTAATGATGATTCCTTGTCTAGGGTTTTCTTCATTGTAGGCAATATCATCATACATAAAAACAACGATATTTTCCTCTTTCAGACCACCATTTCTTAGCACTTGATAAGCATGACAAACATCTGCCTGAAACAGAATATGAATTAATATCTCCATGAAAAATAAAAAATAAAACCACCCATCAATCATTATGTTACGATTTCCGAAAAATAACGATCACAAAGGATACCGAAACAGAATTCCGATCACAATCTCTAACCTATTATAAATTCAAAATCATTAAGTTCATCATAAAATTCCCCAAAACAGTAAGCTTTATTGAAGTAGGGTGGCATTTAAAACATAATCACAAAACATCTTGGGAAGAACTTATTGACCTGATGCCTGTAATTCTGATATCCTTTAGATCCAGCAATCAAGACCGCCCATCTCGTTCCCTCGACTTCATCGTTGTCGCCCCCATGGAAGAATTTATAAGCTTCAGACGGTAACCGGAGCACGTCGCTGGTAAAATCTGTATCGGCTGACACAATTCCAGTCACCGACGAGAAGACTAGAATCACACCAGATAAGAGAGATCTCATGATTTTAACAATTACACAAAATGGAAGACAGTTGCAATTAATATGTACATGGCAAAGGGCCACGTAAATGGATGTCGATGCTGGTTGTTGAGAGCTATTAATTGTGTCCCAAGTCATTTCAAGTTTAATTTTTTTTTTGGTTAACTATGATATTAATCACTTATATTTTTACTTTGTAAGTTTTTCTTCACTGATTTTAAAAAGTATAATGTTCGCCTAATATCTTTTTATTTAATTAAAATGTGATCACCATGAGTTAATTATTATTACATATTTTTGTATAATTACATGTTTGATATTTGTTATTTACATATTCTTTTAATTTAATCCTATATTTAATAAATTAAAATAAATTTAATCCTCCAATCAAATGATGTCACGTGTCACTAGTATCATGTGTCGTGTTACGTGTCACCGTTTAGTTATAGTACTAATTTTATTTTAATTTTGTTTATTTTAATATAGGGTTAACTTTATTTTAATAAATAGAAAGTATTAAATCAAAATTAAATTAAAATAAAGTTAGGCTCCAATCGAATGGTGACACGTGGCACTAGTGAACCGTGACATTCAATTGGATGGATAAATTTATTTTAATTTATTAAAAGTAAGATTAAGGGGTTGTTTGTTTACTTCAGAATGATTAAGCGCTGAATGATTCAAATACTGAATGATTCAGAGGCTCTGTATGAATTAGCTATGAATGTGACATGTTGTTTGATAATGCCTCTGAATCATTCAGAATGTATTTCTGTGTTAAATCATTCAGCACTGAATTATTCAGAGGTGAGAAACAAACGCGCTGAATGTTGAACGGTTCAACATTCAACGCTGAATTATTCCATTCAGAGCCAAACAAACAACCCCTAAATTGCGAGAATATGTAAATAACAGTGACCAATTGTGTGATTATATCAAAATACCACGTAAACTAATATGTTAGCTGTTAAAGGCATTTAACCCGTGATGATCACATCTTAACTAAATAAAAACGAAAATGACCATATATTACGTGTTTCAGAAATCAGTGAGGAAAACACAAACATAAGTGATCAATCATGTAGTTATTTTTTTTAAATAATAATAAATCATTTTAGATTTGGATTATTTATGTTTGAACATGAAGTTTAATAAGTTGAGTTATTATTCGATTTTTCAATTGAGTTGTTATATATTTGAATCGTTATAAATGATGATCTTAGGTTTAACTGATTTTTTTATTTATATAACTTTTTAGGTCAAATTATCTTGATTCGAGCTTTAGTAAATTTGAGTTTGATTGCACATATCAAAGTTATTTAATTTATGTGATCAAATTCAATTAACTTTATTAAAAAATGTTTTGAAATATATTTTTTAGAATATTTTGAATATAATATTTTAATTTTTGTTAAAATGATTTATTTAATAATTAACTCGTAAAATTAATATGATGAGTCACGCAAAATATATTGTTATGGTATCATATCACGTCGATAATTTTTTAATAGAAACAATTTAATTACTTTTATTAAATTATTCTCCTATAATAAAATAGTAACACATACCACAAATTTATTTGGTGATAAAATATAGAAGTTTAAAATTCATATGATATATTTAGTTAATATTTTTTATAAAAAAAATAAATAATTGTGTGAATTTAATAATTAATTTACGAAAGAGAATTATTTGGGTGAAAAAAATCAACATAAGGGTAGGGATGGGCATTGGACCCGAACCCGATTATGTCGGGTTTTTTATAAAAAAAAATTGGGGTTATGGTCAGGCTTTATAAGTGTGATGTTCGATTCGGGTTTATGGTGAAAAATACTCGACCCGACCTGAAAAAATATATAATTTTATCTTATATATTTAGGAATAATTATAATAATATCTCTATATATAATTTTTTCAATTAAGTCATTGTTTTTATTGAATAAAAATAATATTTTTTATTATTTCGAGTCGGTTTCTAAGTTATATGTCGGGTCGGGTCAGGTCTCGAGTGGAGGATCCTTTGGTCTCGGGTCAAGTCAGGTGAACCAAAAACCCTACATGACCCATGTTCATCCCTACATAAGGGGTCCTCATTTATTTATTTTTGAAAATAAATGGTCCTCATTTATTGATAAAAATGTTGGTTTGGTAAAGCCCTAAATAGTCATTTTCATGGACTATTTATTTTCCATCAAATCTAAGGGTGCAAATAAACCAAGCTAAACGAGCGAAGTTGTATTCATATTCGATTGTTTATTTTTGAAGATGTTAAGATTTTCGGAAGCTCGAATCGACAATCGGAACGGTTACCTTAGCTCCTCACCAAGGATTTTCCAACAAATTCACTAATTTGTTCTTTCTTTTGATGACAAAGAGATAACCTTACAACTCTCTAGTTTTTTCGGGCTAAAATATAACATTTCCCTAGCTTTTACACAGAACAAGCTATAACCTTTCACCTTTACAAAAGGATAAGAAATGTAAACAAGAAAACCTCTCTAAGGTAGGTGTTTACAAAATTGAGCTCACAAGAACAAAATATTTACAAGAGAAAGATGAAATAAGAATGAAAAACTCTTCTCTTGTGTTTGATTGCTTGGATAGTTGTTCTCTTTCTTCTTCAAGTGTCCTTAGCTTGTATTTATAGCTTGGAATGTGTTTGATGTCGTATATAACCGTTGGGGATGTTTTGGAGCCGTTTGGGGATGATTTTTCTACTCAAAAAGTTGCCCATAACATGGTGCATCGGTGCATTATCATGCTGCATCGATACCCCTTCATTAAATTCAAATAAACTAGCTGTTACTAATCGTTGCAGCCTTGGTGTATGGATGCACAGCAGGATGCATCGATGCACTAAGTGCATTCGAAACGGAGTGCATGGATGCACTACATGGTGCATCGATGCACTACATGGTGCATCGATGCACTAGTGGCAGGTGCATGGATGCACTGCAGGGGTGCATGGATGCACTTTGACACCATTTAGCATTTTGGCTCAAATCCGAATTTAATGGACTTTGGATTATTTTTGAAACCTTTTAAAACTTTGAATAAATTCAATTAAGTCCAAAAATTATTTTGTAAATTCAATTCAAGTTCAAAAACCATTTTGCCTTAAATTGTTATATAAAAACATAGTTCAACAGAAGATATTCATGTTCGGTTCACATTCTTTTCATTTTAATATCATGTTTATATTCGTTTATTTAACATTCTAAAACGTGTTGGTTTATATATTCATTTAGCATTTAACGTTCGTTTATCGACACGTTCATAGAGAATAAAAGGAGAGAAAAGTTTTTTCCCTGTGTTTTAATAGATTATAATAAGAAAAATGGTAAACTTACACAACTAGTACTTAAAACTTCTTAGGATTCATAGTTTAAACTACAAATTTCATCATATATTCAATTTAGTATGTATCTTCACTAATATTCAAAATATAAAAAAATAAACGAGCTTATTCGTAACATAAACGAACCGCACACACATTTGTTCGTGTTCGTTGGTTTATTAAATGAACATAAAAATTTTGTTCATACTTGTTTACGTAGTTCAATAATCGAATATTATACAAACGGTTCACGAATAATTCACTGAACACACTGTCCATTTACACCCCCTAATCAAATCCAGATAAATGCCACGAGAAAACGATGTAATTATTCATATATCATACCCCATTTTAATTCAAAACAGAACATAAACAACCTCTGAACAAAAGCACGAGTAGCAGCAGCTCAAGGAAACCAGAAATTTCAAATAATACCCATCTTCTACATGGGGATGGGCATGGGACCGAACCCGAAGGATTCCGACCCGAGCCGAGCCGATCGGGTCAGATTTTTTAAAAAAAAATATTAGGTTCAGATCGGGTCGGTTCAGGTTTATGGTGAAAAATATCCGATTCGACCCGAAAAAATATAATTTTACCTTATATAATTAGGAATAATTACAATAATACCCCTATATATATTATTTTTGTTTCAATTTAGTCACTGTTTTTATTAAATAAAAATAATTTTTTATTATTTCGGGTCGGGTGAAAATTTGTTTCGATCAAATTGAGTCTCGGGTGGAGAACTCATTGTTCTCGGGTCGGGTCGGGTGGACAAAAAACCCAACCCATACCCATCCCTAACTTCTACATGGCATTTCACCTGAGTAACTGATTTATTTATTCATAAATAACCCGGGAAACAACTCGAGATATACCCTTACGTGGACCACCAATGGAGGACATCCTTGCGCCGATTGATCGTTTTCTGCAATTGAAGAACTCCATCCAGCTTATTTAGTACTAATCTTTTTCACCATCCAAACAGCTCCTCGATATTTGATTTTAACACTGCCCCTGTCCCGGAGGTCCATTCATTTTGTCACAAGCTTATGATGCATAACATTTTTTTTACTAACTTATTTTCTCATAATGCATAACTGGTAGATTACACTAAGGGGTCGTTTGGTTCACGGCATACAACATTACTAGGGAATGAAATCCTCATTCTCCTGTTTGGTTGACCGGTAATCTTATTCCCGGTAATATTTTATTACCAACAGTAGATTTTTTGGGATATATTACCGGGAATGTGATTACCCCCTTCTCTTAGGTATTGTTGGATTACCGGCGTTTTGGATTAAAATGCTCTTAATTTTTTTCTTTCAAAATTATCCTTTTCCTATCGTTGAATAATAAAATTCTAAGAAGATTAAATTATAAATTTATCCTTAAACTATTTTAGATTTACAAAAAAAATCCATAATTATAATTTTATATGAAGTTTAGAGGTTAAAATAAAATTTTATCCTTTCATTAAACCTATTTATCTTTTCAATTTTATGAATTTAAAATTTTTAAATAAAATATATAAATTAATTATAATAATATTATAGTAATATTCAACTTATTAAAAAAAACAAATATATAATAAGGACAATTTAGTAAAATATATATTTTAATAATCTTTTATTATTTTAACCAAACTCGGTAATCTTACATTCCTACTAAATCAACCAAACACAAAATACAACAT